GCAACAACTATAGAGCTGTGCAAAGCTGTGCAGGAGGAGGGCTGAGGCTGCCGCGCGCTATTGCTTTGTGGGTCAAGTGAGGCAGCAGAAAGGCCTTATCCCCACCCCACCCCCTGTTTTGTTGCTTTTTCCTTTCTCTTCCCCCCCACTGCTCTCATGATTTCTTCGCGGGGCGGGCAGAGTCCCAAGAACAAATAAGCAACAGAATGGAAGTCACTTTCAGGAGGGGTGTGGTGGCGTAGCACGGCGTGAGCGCGGCGGGGCGCGGTGGGGCGCTGGCCGCGGGCCGGCCGGCCGGTGTTAGCCGTGGTCATGGGGCTTAGGCGCCCCGCCCCGCCCCACCCTACCAGCTGCAGCGTCCGTAAGGTTAGCCGTATTGGTATAACCAGGTGGCTCACTGCCAGAGGTGGTTAAACTCATTTGTCTCGGGGCATTTAAATAAGTTCGGGGAGCATAAAAAGCAGACGCCATGGCAAAAGATGCATGACGGAACAAAGAAGAGACCAACAAAGAGTATGAAAAGTTCGACAAAATAAGCGCACTCTCACTGTTTTTTTTCCTCTGCCCTCCGCGGCCTATACTCTCCAATATTCGAAATAATAATTCCAGATTGTGTTGCGGCAGCAGCGGGGCAACCTCATATGTTGCAACAGCGGGACTGACACGCGGAGATACGACTGTGCGGCCCGCACGATAGAAACAGCTGATTGGGGCGGCGTGCCGTGGCTGGGGGAGGGGAGGGAGGGGGAGGGGGATCGGCCGAACCCGGCATGTCCGCCATCAGTATCGCTTTCCGCGATCGCGCAATGGGGAGAACTGGCTGTGTGTGTGTGTGTGTGTGTGTGTGTGTGTGTCTGTGTGTGTGTGTCAGGAGGACATCCGTTATCGACAATAGCACGTGAGTAGGCGAGGTGCGCGGGAGCTGCACACGCCCCGCTCACGCCCCCGCTCATGCCCCCGACCCGACCGCGCTCCCACGCACGCCCCCGCGCGCACACGGAGAAATCGACGTCCTGCTTTTCAAAGTGGTTGTTAGGAAAAACCAAGAAGACGTTTGGAAGGATTAAATGCATATGTTGACTTCTTATGGTTTCCCGAATGTTGCTTGAAAACCAGGACGTTGTTTTTCCCGTGCACGCACTGCGCACGCCCTATTCACACGCCCCCGCGCACGCCCCTCGCCTACCCTTCCTCTTTTGCCGCCCTACTTAACTCGGCCGCCCCTTCTTTTTGCCCTTTTCTTCCCGTATCTCTCCCGCGCTCCCGCCGCCCCCGCGCCGCCCCCGCGCCGCCCCCGCCGCCGCCTGCCCATGTAATGAAGGTTCATAACGACGCTCTCCGCCGCCTCATCCCAGACCTCCTCCCCGCCGCGCCGTCGATTCCCCTCGATGCGGCCTGAAGGTCGACCTGCGGCGCGACAAGACCCACGATAATCAGTTCAAAAAAGCGGAGCCCACAAAATCATATTTCAACACACATTTTGTATTTTGTATTTGTATTTTGATTTGTATTTTTTATTTGTACGAATTCTAGCGACCTCTTTTCGCACCCATTTCTGCGATAGTGTGAACACTGGTGTGCATTCATTTGTACGAAAACACGCATTTTTTCGCACAAATTTGTAGAAAACGAAACTTAGGTTTATCATAGCACGAACGTTAGAGCGTTTACTGTGAAAGAAAATATAATCTGTACGAAATTGGGGTACATGATACATATTTGTTTCAGAATGAATCACATTATTGTGTAAAAGTAATCGGTTAACTAACGTTTCCTCTTTTGTTCACAGCGAGACCAGCGACCTGAATCAGGGTCTCCTCATCGAAGTATGGTGCAAAGGCATGCTATGGGACCGGGCCCTGGGCTACTGCTACATCCCGCTGCACTCAATCATGTACGAGATGGTGAGTACATGGAGTGAACTTCTCTCTTTATCTCGCTTTTAGCAGATGATAAATTTGAAACATTTTATACTGAAACCAACACAATAACATGCACATGACACATGACACATAAATGTGTTAGTTTCGCCCAGTTTGCTTGTACTTTCGTGTGAGGCACAAGAACTAGAGAGGGTATAAATTTGGGACATGTCCCATAACTGCAGTTCAAATTCAGACAAATACTGAACATTTCGGGATATCATAGAAAATTTAACGCGTCGGTCTCAAATTGTTTCTCAGCGAGTACCGTACAATTCTAAATTGTATGTGAGAGATTTTCCTTTTTCTGCGCTCACAAGTAAATTCAAATCTTTTCATGAAATATTTGAGGGTGTTGGTCGTTCTAGAGGCACTGACTGAGTAATCAAACTCTTGGAAAACAGGTGCTAAATCGCCCTTTTGTTTTCCAAGGGCTCGTCCCGTATTCACAAACAGTTAGTTAACTACCTAGTGTATGTTATATGTTTGCACCAAATTGTTTGCAATAATGCTTAGCAGTGGAACATTTGGTCTGGTTTGGTTTAACTCGGTGCGCCTCCCGTTACAGGACGACGGCAGCAACGAGAACTGGGTATCGCTCGACGGCGACCTGGTGATGCAGGACGGGGAGGTGATCGCTACCAAGAACCCTACTGGCCACTCCGTCCTCATCAACTGCCACTTCGAACAACCCTTCGGTGAGTGGCGACGCAACCCGACGCTCCCCGTGGTCCTTCTGCTCCCCTCCCCCGTCCGTACTCTCGGGCCTGACCTCGGTTTGCTTTGCAGATGGTTAGCGCCCCCTGCTCCCTGTTCGCTCTCTCTTTTATTCCTCTCTCTGTCCCTCCCTCTGTCTCTAACACTCTTTCTCTCACCCCCTGTCTTTGTTTCCGGCGGTCGGCGGTCGTGTTCAATTCATCATTCGCAGCGACAGGTTTGCCCCTCATTTCTATCTCTCTCTTTCCCTCTTAACTCTAGCACACTCTTCCGCACTCTTTATCTCACAACTCTTGCACCCTTTCGTGCACCTCTCACTCTTTCAACCCCCTCCCCTTCTGTCTCTGTCTCTCCTCTCACACTCCTCTTGCACTTTTCTTTCTCGCTCTCCACTCTCTTAACTCTCGCACTTTTTGGTCTCTCTCTCTCTCTCTCTCTCTCTCTCTCTCTCTCTCTCTCGCTCTCGCTCTCGCTCTCTCACTCTCACTCTCACTCTCTCACTCTCGCTCTCTCACTCTCACTCCCTCACTCTCGCTCTCTCACTCTCAC